TTTTTCAAATTGCAGCTCAAAAAAAAACTTTGTTCATTACAAGTTAAAAATTGACAAACATTTCAACTGAAAATGAAATTTTTAAATTATATTAAAATAATATCAAACTTTACCGGCAAAAAACTAAGAAAACAACGGCATTTTAGAAGGAATAAAATTATTATATTTTACGTTTAATAAATGTATATTATTTATCTGTTTATTTGTAAATGCCAAAATATATAAATAGCATATAATGAATTTATAATGTCTATCTTTTATTTACGAATAAAATGTAAACAAACATTGACAACGTTATTTTAATGAATATTTTTCGCCGGGGGTCAACTAAAATATGTATAAAATATTTTTTACATTTTTAATTATATAATTTAATTAAAAACTACTTTTATTCTCTAAAAAAACTTACATTTTTTATTTAAAAAATCAAAAAACTTACTTAAAATATTTATTAAATTTTTTAAAATTTCAAATTATTAAAAAAAAATCAAAACAAATTTTTCTTTATTTTTTAAAAATTGGATTTTAAATTTAAATTTATTTAACAAAAATTAAATAACTTATCAATCAACTTGAGCCTTGTTTATACACAGGTCTTATTAAACTGGTGTAGTTTCTGATTAACAAAAAGAGGAAGTCCAAGATGACAATATAAAAACAAAAAGAATCAATTAATTTATTTTTGAAAATATCTTAGAAAATAATATGAAATCTTTAATTTAAATAAAATTTTCCTTTATTAGATAATTTCGTATCTTAATATTCATTTACTTTAATCGGATTTTTTGTGAATAATCTTTAATTTTTTTTTTCTTTTGGTCGGAAGAAATAACCGAAAATGCATTCAATTTTATTTAATTTTTGCACAGACTTTTTGGAAATTAAATCGAAAAATTGTTAAAATATCACAAAACATCAGTTTTATTTTACAAAAGAAAAAAAAAATGCTCAAATGCTCAATGAGCAAATAAATGTTCAAATATGTAATTGAATTAATGTTTCTTACATTTAAAGAAAGGAAAGATGTAGTTCTTTATATTTAAAGTAAGTAACTGAATATCAGGGATTTGTTCTTAATCCTTCAAAGGAATAATAATTTAAGCATTTGTCAAAATTCTTAAATTTAATAGTTTAAAATCATAAAATTTTATATAATTTTAAATCTATATTAACAAAATTGTTACCATTTGCAAATAGCAATTCGCAGGAAAGCTTCTACATACCTTTTTTTTTTTCTAAAGGAGTAAAGTTATTTATATAAGATTCTTCCAAATAAATTTTAAACAAAATCTAGACTATAAAATTGTTTAAAAAGCTAAGGTTTTGAATATCACAGAATTCTAAAATATGATTTTATTCTTTTTAGTTAAAATGCTAACTAATTAAATTATCTTTATTAGGCCTTTTAAAGATCTTCGTAAATGTTAGGCCCTGGCTAAACGATCCTCATCTTGTGATGATCGAATATCATATGCTCTTCATCATCATATTTGTATTGAGTTTTGAATAAATCGAAAATTAATTTCAGGTTGAAAGAAATCCAGTCGTTGGAAAATGTAAATATCAATATTAAATTCTTCTTTAATAAAATGGTTTAAGGGAATGATTTTATACAGTTGAAAGGATGGAAATTTCGATTCGAGGGAATGTTTAAGCAACGTTTCTGTAGAATTATTTATACCGAATGTAAATAATATTTACACGTGGATCTAAAAATACTTATTTATAATTATAGATTTACTGTATATGGATAATAAATATACTGTGCATATTACTTTTAAAGTACACATTTTAATTATGAAAAAATAATAATAAATATATTTTCATTTGTGAAACGTTGATTTGATATTATAGAATTTCTGATAGATTAATGTTAAGTTAGTTCTCTAAGAGAATAAAGTTTAATATTAATCTTATAGTCATATGAGACTGATTTTTGTGTATTAAGCTATCGACTTAGTTGTATCTAATTATTAAAAAAGAAAGGTTAGTTTTACTTTATCAGTTCTCCGATAGATCAATTAAAATTAGCCTTGTGATAGATTAGTCAAGGTTAGTTCTCTGATTTTTATTAAATATGAGTGTTAAAAGTGAAATTAAAAGATCAATTTCAGAAGATCAATGTTTATTAGTCCTTTAATAGATCAACCAAAGTTTTTGAAGTTAACTTGATGTATCAAGAAACAAACCGTTTGTTCTAATTATCAGAGGATAAATCTTGGCTTGATTCATCTATTAAGTTCTCTGATCGTTTATCCTCTGATAATAAGACTAAGAAGTTGTGTACTGGCACAATGAAGTGACGTTTTTCTCAACACTGGGCTAGTTGAATCTTATTTAGTTAGAACGTTTTTTCCATACATCAACGTTTCGGGCATCAGCCCCTCTTCAGCTAACCAAATATATATAAAAATATTTAACAGGACACAAATAAAAACCAAAAAACTCACATAAATTCTTTGTAAACCATACCTCACTTCAGCATGGACCATGCACACACAGTAGAAATCAGACTACACTTAGGTTTTTTACATTTCCACTATCGATTATTATCACAATTTTTACTTTACAGGTTAAAAACAAAACCTTTTTTACGTTTTATTACATAAACAAGATAAACTCTGTAGATTTTAAAAAAACTAAAACTTACAAATTTCAAAAGTACATTTTTGCCACCTCGTCGACTGATCCGACAATTTGCATATAGCACTATATGCCGTAAGTTGTACTAGTTAACAGATTAATCGACAAACATTTGAAAATCCTTGAGGAAATTACAAAAAAATTTTTTAATTTTTTTATACAGTNTTTTTTTAAAATCTACAGAGTTTATCTTGTTTATGTAATAAAACGTAAAAAAGGTTTTGTTTTTAACCTGTAAAGTAAAAATTGTGATAATAATCGATAGTGGAAATGTAAAAAACCTAAGTGTAGTCTGATTTCTACTGTGTGTGCATGGTCCATGCTGAAGTGAGGTATGGTTTACAAAGAATTTATGTGAGTTTTTTGGTTTTTATTTGTGTCCTGTTAAATATTTTTATATATATTTGGTTAGCTGAAGAGGAGCTGATGCCCGAAACGTTGATGTATGGAAAAAACGTTCTAACTAAATAAAAGATTCAACTAGCCCAGTGTTGAGAAAAACGTCACTTCATTGTGCCAGTACACAATAAGCAAATACAACACGGTTTCGACAACATCAAGACTAAGAAGATTTATCTTTTGATTTTAGCTTGAACTCCACCTAATTATCAAAAAATATACGTCGGTTTCATCTATCAGTTTTCTAATTAATTAGATTAAGCTGCGGTTGAATCCTTGAATAAAACAAGTTTTAATCCTCTAAAACATCAATCAAGCAAAAATTGAAAGAGTTTTCTTACTCAAAAAACAAACAAATAGACTATAGAAAAGTAAATTATATCTTAAAATTAATAAAATTATTACCCAATGATAAAAATAATCAGTTCTTGATATTTTTTAAAATATTTTTTCTAGCGCTGTCAAAGATTTGATCATTTTCAGTCATTTTTAACCAATGAAGTGAATCTGAGCCAATGAAGAAAATCTAGAAAATACGTAACCTAGATTTTCTTGCACAGGAGGCAAGAATTATGTTCACTTTTCGATTGTTATCGTAACTATTTTAGTTACTTTCGCGAACATTTGTGCTCACTAAAAGTTTCCCCTCCACCTCATGTCATTTATTCTCTTGACCTTTTAATTTTACTAAAGAGATTCACTCCTCTACATCCCATTTGTGAGCGTACAATTTTGCTCTGGCAAACTTGTTCATCTGGATATCTCTATCCAGATGAACAAGTTGTCTATCATCTCTCTTTCAGAAATCTGTTATTTTTATTTCAAAAACCAAACTCCTAAAGTAACTTCTTGTGACAGTTTACAAACGATCTTTAGACTTTTGCTCCTACTTCAATGTAAAGTCAACTTTCCAATACTGATTACAATCTTGTATTCAAAATAATTGAAACAAAATAGACAATAACATATTCTTTATTTCTTTTAAAGAAATATATTTATACAATCGTTGCATTGTTTCAGTCACAAAATGGCATAGAAAATTATAATTTAGACTTTCTAAATTTCTGATTAAACATTATAAATGTACATAAACATGTAGATAACATATTTCATAAATTGTTTATTAATCCACCAACCTTTATATACTGTAGCATCAACCAGCATATAACATTGAATTTACATGATATTTAGAATAAATACAGTAAAATATATACAACAAATCTATTCCTAAAACAAAAAATATACATATGTACTGTATACTGTATCTTACTATCTTACTACTTCATGGTTGTTTTTTTTTTTTGATGAGGAAGAATCACAATTCCTTGATGAAGAATTTCAGTTAAATTTACATTTTTAAAAATTTTTAAACATTAAATTTTATAAATGTACAATTACGATTTTTTTATAAAATACAAAAATACAATAATTAATGTAACTTTCATTTTAAAAAATTGATTTTATAATTTATCATTAAATTCTATTTTTTTACTACTGTATATTTTATTTTTAACTATTTAATTTC